TTCAATCTTAACACAACGGATTTGCATTTCTCTCTAACTGGGATATCTTTTCCGGCTTTGGACTTCTTTGGGAACCTTTATGGTAATCTATGATTGTATTGTTTTTTGTGCTATTGGAGGAGAATGCAGTCATTTAACAGACATGAGCTCACAATTGAAAATTTGTCTTAATAAATAGGCCACTTGTCTGTGATACTATTTAATATGGAGGCGGCAGCGAGGAGTCGAAATGTTGTTGTCGATGAGCGAAATATGTGATCCGCGACGTAGAATGATTTAGAGACACTTCTAAGGTGCACATGTGTATTCGATAGTGGATTGTTGACATAGGATAAGTGAAGTAAGAGGCATTACAGGGGGTGGTAGACGATCCTATTAAATGCACATCGGCTATAGGTGGACCGGTGTAGATGTCACATGTTTGGTGTCGGAGTTTAGTTAGTCAGATCGGTGTAAACGTGTCATATGAGAGTGAAGGCTCCTTCAGTCACTACTGTTAGCGCGTGCAATCATGAGAGTGTGGGGTTACTGCTGAGAGCTCACTCAACACGTACTATTGAACTGGTCGCAATGGCATGGAATAGCAGCGGGCATGACAGCAAGGTGAATTGGCGTTCGAAATCAGACGACAGGATACGTTATATTTATGTAAGTGCGAAGGATGCAACGCATGCGTCGTGTAAGAGGTGTGGTCGTCTCGTCAGGCGGATTCTCAAATGATAGCAACCAATGTGTATGTAGCGTATTTTAGGGGCAAGAGAAGCGACATTCACCTGAAAGAGGAGAGCTGTACGTAAGATTCGATAGGGGCTTTATAAAGGCATGCGGACGCCACCTGATGTCGCTGAGAATAGGTACTTTGGATATAAATCCTAAGAGTGTAGGTACGGCGGAGGCCGCTTGATAGACGAATATATATAGCGCGCACAAGACGTATATATCAGTAGCGAGTGCAGGTCTCTGAGGGACTAAAAATCTTGGAAATTGCGAATGACCGGCTTATAGTAATCATGTATTTCGCTAAATTAGAGGTAGATTGTGCAAATTCGTGTGGAGGAAGACTGATGGCAGTGGAAGGGCATATCATTCAAATTTCCACATCGGATCTTCGAAGAGAAGGAGCGAACATCAATCCTATTTCACTCAGAATTTATAAGGCTCAGTATGGATCAATATGGCCTAAGGACAATATTGATCTGCACCGAAAATGGCCCAGCCCAGGAGTCATATTGGTCCAAGGGGTTAAATCAGCCATACTGAGCCCTTAAAAATTATATCGGTTATATCGGTCTCTCGTTCCCTCCCAATTTTTCTTTTTTCCCTTTCTTTATTTTTCAGACAGAGAGACTTGTAGAGTTGCAGCAAGTCCACAAATTTGCCTCACATCCGCCTTCATAGATAGATTCGAGCGCCTTCGGCGCTTCTATTGCACTGGTCAGTGGTCTGCTTTTTTTCTTTGGTGCTCTGGAATTTTCTAGAATTTGTTCTTTTCATTATGGTGCAATAAGAGATGATGTAATAAGTTATGATGCAACATTGTTTTGATTAGATGCAATTGATGGAAGCTTCTCGAATGTGGCATGATTTACTATATAATCTCTTCACTTCAACAGTTTCTTTACTTACTTACGCCAGGATGTTCTCTCATCGAATTTAAAGCTGTTCCAGTAGCCTCTACTGGTACAAAATCCGGCCTGCGATCTCTTGCCAGTTAAAAACCACGCCGTCACAAACTTTGTGCTTGTGGTGTGCAAGAGTTTCAAAGGCCCCCATACTTCACGAAATCACACGTTTGCTTTTAGAGCTTTCGTGGATATTGTGGAAGTGATAGGGGCCTATGTGGAATTGTTGCAAACTCAGTGTGGCGGTAAGTTTGATTCTATCATGAAGGTAATTTACTCTAAATTTTTTAAAATATGCGCAACAAACAATGTTTCGGATAGTGTTTTCTGTTTTTGTTTCTGCGTGTTTCTATAGTGTGTATCTTACCCTTTTTAAATTATGAATATAATTGAGAATAGGAAATTCCTCACATTTCGTTATTGTTTCAAATGATCGTCATGAATATTGTTCTATTACGATAAAGTTTTTAACCTCTGGCATACCATAGTATCATAGCATTGGCTTTCAAGTGAGAAATTTGCTGCCTTTTAATTAGATGAATAGCTTGTGACCACTGATTAATTTTTTCTCACACAAAGACCAAAACAACTTACACACAGTAAAACACAGTTTTGTACCTGTTTCCTATATGTACCTACAATCTGCAATTTTACTTTTTAGACGTTTTTGCTTACCTTCGGAAGTATAGCGCGTCTTATTATGAGCAAGATACACAAATCTACAGAGAATCCAGCCAGGTTTCCCTCTATGAAATATCTTTTAAAAATATTCTATAGTTTTTTGTAAGAAGCAATCAAAGTCCAAATGTCCATGCGAATGTCTATTTGAATGTCTAAACGAATGTCACACGCTAAATAGCGGAACGTCTATGAGATATATTAAAAGTATCAATAATCTGTAAAACTTTTTTGCAAATGACCTCAGCATATGCCCTCTCCCCTGTCATTGTATTTTTAATGTTTCAGCGATTTAGTGTTATTACAGATGAAATAAATGCTATTTATCATCTTCCTCTACATGCTCTTTTGTTTTTGATGGAAGTAGTGATGGAATAAAATGGTTTCTGCTTACCTCTCGAAGTATTGGTCTTGTTGAAAAGGGTGATTTCATTTTGAAATAGAGATTCTTCACTCAATTTTAGTAGTCTGTAACAATTAATTTGTTTGAATCATACTATCAGATACAACTAATGCTTTGGAATTGCAAAGAAATAATCTGGTAAACTGACCTTTAATGCCAGTACAAATAAACTTTAATTTTATGACAGGCAAAATTGCCAAGTTTTTCTGTTCAGTATGTTGTATAACTAGGATTAACAGAAACCATGATGAGGTTCATTTTTTGAAAATTTGAAAAACTTGCTTTCAAATTATTTGTAAGTTTATAAGCAAATGTTCTCAAATTGTGAACTCCTCTCTGTTAAATGGACTGCATTCTCTCCAATAGCAAAACAATACAATCATGGCTACCATAAAAGTTCCAAAAGAAGCCAAAGGCCTATAAAGGAATTAGTCAGTGTCAGAGAAAAATGCAAAATCAGTTGTGTTAAGATTGAAATTCCGTCAATTAAAAGACCAATGGTTTTGCGAGACAACAACCAAGCTCCACCTTTTTGGAAAGATGGGATATAATTCAAGAAATCACAGGAAAGATAGCTTGTAAAGATAGAAAAACCCAATTCTAAAAAACAAATTTCGTTTCGGTTAATTTATTGTTAAAAAACACTCCAGGAATACAATAAAGATAAACATAACAGTATACTTTGAATATCAATTGATGCTAGAGCCACTTAGTTTTCTCAATGAATAAAATTGTAGCTCCAAAATCATTCTGTTAAAGACAATGTTTAATTTCTTATTGCCAAACAGCAAGAGGTTACTAAGAGCCTCATTGTCCAAAGATGCAAGGTCCCATGGCAATTTATCAGCTTGATTTGTGGCATTGTAGCTCCAACCTTTTTAAATTTCTGACCATCTATTTGAATGGACATAATGAAATAAAAAGTCAAATCCTTGCTTTGGTGAATTGATCATCATGACCTCCTTTTGTCTTTACAATTTGTTTGAGTAAGATTAATGATTTTTCATCTTGAGTTAATTTTACACTGTAAAAGCTGTTAAAAGGTATTTATGCCAAATTTTCCATGCTCAAAATTTGCAGAAAGAATGTATATTGGAATTTCACACTTCAGAAGTCTGCATCATAGTCATGTCTGCATGAACCAATTATAAAGTTTGGTGGTACAAATATTATCTTTTGAAAAACAAAAATATTAAGACATATTAAAGCTTTTCAGAAAAGGTAATAGAAGTACATCCAGATACACCATATTTGAAGTACATTCACTCTTCCTGAGTTGTTTTGCAATGATTTCTTTATTTCTCGTTTTACTTTCTTCCTAATATCTTGACTAGATACAAAACCCTAATAGATAAATCCTAACATACCAAAGGTTTTTCAGATTTGAAGTAGCCTGCTTGACTATGGATTGTCCTTTTACAGTAACAAAGGCCTCCTCCAGTATCCATTTTCGTTTTACAGTAAACAATGGCCATACACAAACAATTAACTAAGTATTGCACAGGTTTGACAGTTCAGTAATGGCGGCCGCGTTGTCAACAACAAAGCGATCGAAATTCAAACCACTTTTGTGAATCCATTAGGCGTCTTTTTATTGTTAAAATCTTATCAAACCAAGCTTCAAACCATTGACAACACTTTTAATTTAAAAGTTGAAAAAAGTTACTTTTTAAAAAGTAAAACGTTTTAACTTTTTATTGGACAGTCACCCAGCTTTGAAACCTTTGTGAGACTTGTGAAAACGTTATCGAAAAGTATACTATTAGGTTCTGTTAATCGCGACATGGTAAGTTCCAGTGGCGGCTCGTGGGGTAAATTTTCGGTTGGGCTGATGACGTAATATTCAAAATCTAAAGCCATAGGCACGGAACGCCAAGAATGCAAAATAGCTTTTCCCTTTCCATTCTTTACTCTTCCCATTTATTTACCTCTAATCAGCAAGGTTGTCATCATTTTTAAAGTTTTGATTGAAAAAAAAGTGCCACTATTAATTATGTATAATTTGTAACAAGCAAAGTAATAAACTTTGTGAAATGTTGTTATGCTCGACTT